CTGCGTCCTAAGTTTGTGATAGAAGAATAAGTCTGACATTACCTGCCTCGAGTGCCTGCCCAGCATACTCGCTGCAGTGTTGCGTCTTCGCACGTCCACCCGCACGATAGCGGTGTCATATCTTCACCTGACGCTCCATCAGTTGCTGACTCTACCAGCGTAAGCTGCACCAAGGCAGTGCACAGCATCGATGGTGTCATCCGTCATCCTCGAGCAAGAACTCCAGAAGAGTTCTACGAGCAGCGGCCCATTAGACCCCTGCCAAGGCCAGGACACATTTCTACTGGAGGTCAGCCCCCTCGTGGCACAAGTTCAGTTTCTATCATCCAGACTCCCTCGGTCAGACGACCGAGTTTACCTGCAGGACCATCTGGTCCAGATCTCAACCAAGGGACATACGTCGAGACTACTACTGGGTCTCATTTCATCTATCCTCTCGCCATTTCCATCATCTCAAATCAGCGCGTCGAAGGCACCCTTCGACAGATTCATATTCTACTCACCAAACGATACCATCATCAGCTTAACGACCACGACATCTTCGACCTCGAGCATCTCATACTCAAGCTCGAATCCCTCTGCACTGACATCGTGGAATTCAAGCTTTCCTTCGTTCACCAACACGTGGTTCACGACTTCTGCAACTACGTCCAGGAGAGGAAGCATCAGGGCGGAGAAGCTCGCTGGATAATCAGAGATATTATTCAGAAATATCGTCTTGGAATACAGGTCACAGGGCGACATTTACTGTAGATACGAATAGTCACTTTGTATATGTCTTCATCTGGCGATTCGAACAATCTCGAGAATTTTACACAGCTTAATCCAGTCGGACACACCTTCGATTATCTTTGGGACTCAGTACCTCAGGCTCTTCAAGAGCGAGCAGGAGAAGCATTTGCTACATACGAGGATACGTTTCACATCGACTACCACGACGTATATCATATATATGCCCTCCAAATCTATCCAGATTTTGATTGGAGGAATGTCACAGTTCATATCTGCTATATTCCCATCGATACAGAACAACCCGAAGATTGTCTCACTGAAGCTTACAATAGCTTCGTCGATTGGCTCGAGGAAGTCGAACGTCTTTGCGATATCCATCATAATCATTAGTGGCCCGCAGTCAGGGACAAAACTAGGTTTTTGTGGCAACCCTTCATCAAGGTTATATTCCACGACCTCTATTTGCTGAACCGCATTCGTGCTGGTCAAGCAATTGTCCGAGCGGCCACAATCGCAAATAGTCATATCGTCAAGTTTGAAGAACACCTTCGCGAAATAGAGGAGGAATTGTAATATGGCGACCCCCACCCCACAGGATCCAAGCTTCTCTCATGCTCCATCTCCGGAGCTTCCCGCACGACTCAATATTGTTTTACAACCACCTAATCCTATTGTTCGACAAGCCCTCGCCGACACCGCACCCCCCACTGCCCAAATACCCAATGATGTCAAAAATTGGGTAGTCGATCTCATCACCAATGTGGTGGAGCAAATGCGACAACAAACTGTTGCGCATTATGAGCTGCTAATTAATCAACAAGCAGAACGCGCTCAACAAAGCACCACAGAATTTCACAATCGCACGGTCTTCTTAGACCAGCATCACCAACAATCCGAGGCTCAAATCTCGAACTTGGAAAAAACCTCAGCAGCGTTAGCTGAGGATAACAAGGCCATTAACGAATTGTTGGTGGCATTTGACGATGAAGTCAAGGACCTCCAAACAAGGGCAGAAGACCTAAAGAAATCACATGATCGACTTCGTGCATGGGCATCTACGCAGGGAAGGAAGGCAGGGCAAGGCGGTAACAATGTCGACGACACGGACGATGATGATGAGCCATCGTTTGGTCGCAAGGGTAAAGGCGTAAAAATTGACCAGCCAGAAAAATATGGCGGCAACAAGGACGGAGTCAATCTCGATGATTGGCTTGAACAAGTAATGCTCTGGTTGAAATACACTGGACATACCAAAGATGAGTCCAAAATTATGTCTACCCTCTTGCTCCTGAAAGGAGGAGCACGTGAATACATGCGGCATTGGATTACCGACATAAACGAAAATAATAAGGCACCCAGAACTTGGGCGGAGTTCGTCGCTGAACTTCGCACGGCATACGAATCATTGGACAAGGATGACAAGAAGCGAACGGAGCTAGAAGCCTTCGTCAAGAAGGATCATCAAGACTTCCGTCCAAAGGCAACCGGTACAGGCTTCTCGGATCAAGACTTGATCGAAAAAATCAAGAAACATATTCAGGAGAAAACATGGCTGCTCATGCTAGCAGACACAACCAAGGACAACTGGCCCAAGAAGTGGACTGAGTTCCTTACATTCGCACTTCGGATATTTACATCACTACAACGAGAAGGCCACCATGCCAAGGCTGAAACCAAGGACCTGAATGCTATGGAGGTTGACGCAGTCGGGAAGAAAGGGAAGAGTAAATCGGGTAAAGCGTGAAGCGTACAAAATGACAAGTTGGTTTGTGCCAACTGCAAGAAGAACAAACCTACGTTCTTCAAATCATCAAAACGCTTCGGCAAGTATTGCACTGATTGTTTCAAATTGGACCATGTCAAGAAGCAGATCGAGAAGGAGAAAGAGACAGCCACGAAGAAGAAGGACGGAAAGAAAAAGGACGATGAGAAGAAGAAGTCAAAGTCGTCCAAAACGTGACAGGTGGTATCTGATTCTGCTTCATCAGATGCAGAGAGCGAAAGCTCTGACACCGAAGAAGAGAAAAAGCCGAAGAAGAAAAGTTCTTCCTCTAAGACTAAGGGGAAGAGTAAGGAGACAGCTGCGCATATCAGCGACCGCAGCATCCACTCGGAAAGCGAGCCTGATGCATCCGAGTCAGACGAAGATTTTGCCGCGATCCTCTCAAGGCTCAGGCGCCTGAGGGCAAATGGATCCAGTTCATCAAGGAAGGTGGGAGAGGGCTCTTCACGAAGGGATCGGAAGGGTTTTCTCAAAGGGGATCTGTAGGCAGCTCGTCAGAGTCCCCAGAACATTATATAAGACCTGTACATTTAGCACCCAGATCAGACACCTCTGTAGATCATCGCAATGCAGAGGATGATAATGTAACAATAAAGAATTCGTCTCCAAATCTATCATCATTCTATTTACCAGTTACATTATGGGTGTACGGCAAAAAATCGAGCACCGAAGCTTTAGTCGACTCAGGAGCATATTCCATGTATATCAGCAAACGATTCGTAAAGAACAATCGAATCACGACCTCCAAGCTTAATACGACGTACAAGGTGTACAATGCTGACAGATCCCAAAACAAACATGGTGAAATAACGGACTATGTAAAAGCATACCTCAAAGTCGGAGATCATGGTTCCACCCACCGTCTGCTAGTCATGGACATCGGGAAATTAGATATGATCATTGGGATGTCATACTTACATCAGCATAATCCAGAAATCAACTGGCAAGCTGGAGAATGGAAATACTCACGATGCCCGAGTACATGTCACCACCAAGGGCTTTATAAAAAACAACAAGCCATTGTGAGAGAGGAAGCTGAAGAAATCTCGCAACGAGCACAACAAGTGGCAGATGAGGAGCCAACTGCATCTAGAATGTTTAATGGACACAACATCGATGCAGTAAATCCTATAATCTCGTGGGTTGAAACGGACGATCCCGAAGCTGAACAAATAGCCCGCATGATACTTTCTATAGCAGATTGCGGCTATGCTGAACCAGAAGAAGACCTGAAAAAAGCGGCACCCCAGTCAAACACTGGCAGCCCAGAAGATCAGGTTATTAATGAAGTAGAATCTTGGGAAAAATTAGTTCCAGATTATCTACATTCATTTGGTGATGTCTTCTCCAAGAAAGCATCTGGAAGGATGCCAACTCGAAAGCCTTACAATCATGCAATCGAGTTTGAAGAAGAACATGAATTACCATGACCAAGCAAACTCTATCCTATGAATCCGGAGGAAAGAAATTCCCTAGATTCATGGATCGACGAAAACCTAGCAAAAGGCTACATTCGAAAGTCAAAATCACCTATTGCTGCCCCGGTATTCTTTGTCAAAAAGAAGGATGGCACATTAAGACTGGTCCAAGACTACCGAAAACTTAATGCTATAACCAAGAAGAATCGCTTCCCTATTCCACGAATAAGCGAGCTTATCGATCAGCTCAGTAACGCATCAATATTCACCAAGCTGGATCTCAGATGGGGATACAACAATGTTCGCATCCGCAAGGGTGACGAATGGAAAACAGCTTTTGTGACGCATCGCGGTTTATATGAGGCCACGGTTATGTTTTTCAGTTTCTGTAACGCACCAGCCACCTTCCAGCACATGATGAATGAGATTTTAGATGATCTTATTCGAGAAGGCCATGTGATCGTCTACCTTGATGATATTCTAATCTTCACCAATGATCTGAAACAACATCGGAAGATTACCAAAGAGGTAATTAAAAGATTATGGAACAACGACCTTTTTGCCAAACCAGAAAAGTGCTTTTTCGAACAACCCTCAATTGAGTACTTAGGAATGATTATCTCTAAAGGCGAGGTTCGGATGGATCCTCAAAAGGTCACAGGTGTACTCGACTGGCCGGAACCCAAAAAGGTTAAGCAAGTACAAGCCTGTCTTGGGTTCGCAAATTTCTATCGTCAATTCATTGAAGGATTTGCCAAAAAGTCTCGACCACTCAATATCCTTACATGAAAGGATCAGAAATGGGTATGGGACGAAGAACAACAACAAGCATTTAATGCTCTCAAAAATGCCTTTACTTCAGCTCCAATTCTGGCGTTACCGGATGATACTCATCCATTCCGGTTAGAAACGGATTCAAGCGATTTTGCCACTGGTGCATGCCTGGAACAACTCAAAGACAATGGGTTGTGGCATCCAATCGCATTCTATTTGAAAAGCCTCAATGAGGCTGAGCGGAACTATGAAATCTATGACAAAGAGATGCTCGCAATTATTCGAGCGTTGGAAGAATACCGACAATATCTTGAAGGTCATCCGCTCCCGGTAGAAATTTGGTCCAATCACCAGAATTTAACCTATTTCAAATCAGCACAAAAGCTGATGAGACGGCAAGCTCGATGGTCGCTATATCTTACACGGTTCAACATCCAACTACATCACAAACCAGGGAAATCAATGCATCGCGCTGATCCTCTGTCCAGGAGGCCAGATCATGAAGAGGGGGTAAATCTCGATAATTCTGACAAAACTCTGCTCAAACTGGAATATTTCACGATTAAAGCTATTCAACATACTCACCTCGCAGTCGTCACAGATCACGATTTGATGGACAAGATCAAGAAGGCACTACAAGATGACAATGTGAACAACTCATATCAACTACTACTCAAGAAAGGACAACGAGAGTTCTCGAAAGGACTCAAAGACTGGAACTTCGAAAGTGGGATATTACTATATCGAGGCAAAGTCTATGTGCCAAAAGCAGATAATAAGGAATCACTTAGATGAGAAATCGTCCAGCGTCATCATGAAGCTGCCAGTGCAGGTCATCCTGGAAGATGGAAGACATATGAGATGTTATTCCGTAACTACTGGTGGCCAGGAATGTTCACTTACGTCAAAAAGTATGTTGGTTCTTGCGACCTTTGTCAATGCAACAAGAACATCAATCAGCCAAAATACGGAGAATTACAACCAAATGAGGTTCCAACAGAACCTTGGGAAATTGTCTCTGTCGACTTAATCACTCAATTACCAGAATCCCATGGATTCAACGCAATCATGGTAGTTGTCGATCGTTTGACCAAGCGAGCGCATTTCTTTGCAATCACCAATGAGTTCTCAGCATCAGACCTTGCTCGTACTTTTTATGAGAGGGTATGGACACAGCATGATCTCCCGAGACAGATTATCTTGGATAGAGGCACTCAGTTTGCAAGCGCATTATTCCAGGAAGTATGCAAACTCCTTGGGATACAATCAACAATGTTGTCCGCATATCATCCGGAGACCGATGGTCAAACTGAAAGAACAAATCAGTCGCTAGAGCAATATCTCTGTATCTATACTGACAGACGCATGGAAGATTGGAGTATACTACTGCCAACTGCCGAATTTGCCTATAATAATCAGGCTTCTGAAGCCACTAAGAATTCACCATTCTTTGTCGAATACGGTAGACATCCACGTGCAGAACCAACAATAATGGACCCCATAAAGCATCATACGCTAGATTCCATAATGCAGGCACGAGTAGAAGCGCAAGAGCAAGTGAAAGCAGCCATTCTATTGGTGGCTGAACGCATGAAGTGGTACTACGATCAATCCGTACGACCCGCACCTTTCAAAGTTGAAGATCAAGTATTACTCTCCACTAAAGATTGGCAAACATCGGGAGCCAAACTGGCACAACGGAGAGATGGACCCTTCGAAATCGTGGAAAAACTAGGATCAGTCACATACAGACTCAAAATGCCACGACAATACGGCGTCCATCCAGTTTTTTATGCGTCCAAACTCGTGCTCTACCATGAAGACGAAATACCAGGTCGCACCCTCAGGCCCCATCCTCCTATTAAAAAGAAGACTGGTGAAGAATGGAAAGTCGAGTATGTAGTCGACTCTCGTGTCATTCGTGGTAAACTTCAATATTTGGTGCATTGGAAGGGTTATTCCAAAGCCGAAGAAACTTGGGAACCCGCTGCAAATTTGAAAAATCTCCGCGTCTCATCAAGGAATTTCACCGAAAATATCCTGACGCACCTCAACCAATATCTCTCATTGATACAACTCTGGTCGATGGCGTTTTTCCACCCAGGAGAACAGGTCAAGTCTATGGCCCCGCCACTGATACCATTCAGATATACGATCAGGATAGAGATGATTGGGATCATTCTAGAGATCTTCAAATTACATTAGACAATCCAAATGCACGAGCACCAAAATATGCCCATGAAGACGATGCTGGAATGGATTTAGCCACATCAGAACCAACAACCATCTGAGCACACTCAAGAGGATTGGTATTCACAGGGCTTCACTTTACAACACCTCGAGGAACCTATGGTCGAATTGCGCCACGAAATGGGTTAGCTGTCAAAGGCATCGACGTAGGCGCTGGTGTAATCGACAGAGGATACACAGGCGAAATCAAGATTTTGCTAATCAATGATACGAATGATGACTTCACAGTCAATTTGGGCGATTGAGTCGCTCAACTGATCATTGAACGTATTATCACCCCTGTCGTTTCACTGGTTGATTACCTCAAACCCTCAGCCCGAGAACACCGTGGGTTTGGTTCAACAGGCAATAATTACTTCCAGAAACCACGCAAAAAGCCAGATTCGGGATGAACTGTCTAGAAGGGGGGGTACTGTCACAGATTTTCACGTCTTTCAATCCGCACGTGATTAGGACATCACACGACATCAGCGCTAGGCTGTTCAGAAAGGAACGAACCGATACACGAAGTACTAACAGTCCTAGGTGCCCCGAAAGTCTAGAACTAGTCACGTGACATATCACGTGCTAATCCACACATGTGACAAGTAGCGCTGGTATTAGGTAAGCCTAACTTATACAGTAATA